CAAGCCATAAGAAGCTTGTTGAGCTGCTGGGACAGTTACTTTGTAAAGGAAGAGAACTTGGGGCCAGCTAAACGCCAAACCAAATAGGCGTGAAAACGGTGAAAGAAACAGGTGCCATAAATGTTGTGCCGTAGGGCAGCCCCATAAGAGATGGTACGGAGTTTCCAAAATGGTACAACCATGAACACAGTTCGTGTCTTCAGTGTGCCAACGATACTTGTATCGGAAAGCTAGTCCATTTTGTTGTAGGCGAAATAAGAAATCGGAATAAACAGGGAGTATGTCACGTTGGAGAAATCGCACGAGCGACCACAGGAAAGAGGTGACAACCACATCCGGAATTGAAAGCTGAAGAAGCGGTAGGGGATGTGGGTCGTGTTCCAGCAAAAGGCGCTTAATAACCGTGTTAGAGGCATAAACGATGTCGAGACCGTCGAATGTCCAGACATGTAGCGCGCAAATCAGTGCCTCCGGTGGGAGTGGAAAAATCGTAAGGTTCTGATAGTGCAATGGTACTTCGAGTCTTGGGGCAAGTTTTTGAACTACTAAAGTCATGTAGCGCCCGGGCTTGATAGAAGAGCAAGCGAGGGACTCCCTGAGCGTTATTTCATCCGGAATCCAGCCAAACACAGAACGAAAAGTTGAGATTTGCAAGAGATTTTGATGGCTGAGATAGTTGCACGCCTTGCGATGTAGTTGCGCTAATGTACGGTTGGCTTTCGTGAAACGAAGGAATACATTATTCTAAATTGGCCACGTAAGCTTGGTCAGGATCGGGTTCAAACACTGGAGCTTGATGATGATTTTGGAGCTCCATGTAGCAATAGCGGTCTTCCAATATGTGGGAACGGCGTTCCAACATGATTTTGATGCCAGGTAAGAGAGCGGAATATAAAGAAAATCCAAACCGGAGCCTTGACCATTGAAAGCATCATCAATCGCAGTTTGAGCTGGGATAAAACATTTAGGCAGAGTCGAGTAGTTTAGTCGGGCTTGACGAATTAGCTGACGTATGAGGTTTACGTGAAGTAGCTCCACCGAGGTAGCAACGGTGGGCAAGTCATGTCCGCCTGCCAAAACCCCAACTGGGTGCCATGAGCTCGGAAAGTGGCTGCGTATTGCAGGGTCGACCACAGATGTGGAGAATGTGCAGCTCACGAAGTTCCGCATAAGCGGGTTGAACTTGAGGAGCTCTTGTTTAGACACAGAGACTGCTCCCAAAAAGTGCCAAAAAGTGGACAAACCATGGTCTTTAAAATGAGCACTCTCCCTGAAAGGGTGAGTGCACGCCATCTTTAAGTGACACAGAGTTTCTGAAAGCGGACAAGAAGTTGGTAAAGCTGGAATTTCGGGCTAATGTTTGGTCCAACGGCAATACCAAGAAACGTTGTATGTTCTCCATTTCCCAGAACTCGAACGCCTAACTCGTGAAGTCGGTTTTGGAGTGCGAAGTCCGCGGGCGTCCATGGTCTAAACGGAAAAATTACTGTCTTGTCCACGTTAAGCCGCATACCAGGCGCAGTGCAGAAGTCGTGAACCCGGCGTAAAAATTGGAGAGTATGGGAAAGGTTATTAACCAAACCAGTGACATCGTCGGCGAAGCTGAGGATATGGTGGTACGTGGTGCGAATTTTGATGGCTGAGTTGGCACAAGTAGCTCGTAAATAACAGAGTAGTGGCTCAATAAAGATCACGAATAACCCTGGGGATAGTGGGTCGCCTTGACGCACACCGTCACCTAAGCCGACGAAGTCCGAGCGTGAGGAGTTGATTAACACTTGAACGAGGGTACCGTGAAAAAATGTCTTAACCCAATGTCGAAAAATGCATCAAAACCCCCAGTATATAAGAACTTGATCTAAGGCATGCCAATTGACACTATCGAAAGCTTTGGCGAAGTCGAGGCAAATAGCTCCGGCAGGGTCTTTCGAACTTGTGTGCCGGCAGTGGTCTGATAAATTGCGGAAATAGCGAAGAGCATGCCGGATGTCACGTCCAGGCACGAATCCAAACTGGTCTTCGTTCAGTAAACTGGGTAGAACTTTATTGAGACGATAGGCTAATGCCTTTGGACCAAACTTAGCGTCTTGATTCAGCAAAGTCAAGGGTCGGTAATTCTTGGGGTCCGAGCGAGAGCCTTTCTTAAAAAGAAAACTAATATATATGCAGCGTTGATACTTGGTCATGCGGCCCTTCCGGAATTGGGCGGCGTAAACCAGCTCCAAGATCTGAGCCCATTGGGTGGGAAAGAGCTGGTAGTATTCTGCTCGAAGTCCATCAGGACCCGGTGACTTCCCTTTGGCGGTATGCTTGATAGCGAAGAAGAAATCATTGGCCGTAAGCGGTGCATCGAGCATATCGGCTTGGACAGGTTTGAGCTTTCGATGGCTGTGTCTGAGTATATCTTGAAGCTTAGTTGAGTCGAAATGCTGAGGTTCAACCTGGAGATCTCGAGCATCCGATTGAAAGATCGTGACTCAATATCGACGGTGGGTCGACAAGATGGTATCGGGGTCCTTTGACAAACCCAAGGGCGTATTGACTGACGAAATCGATAGCTTTAGTTCCGTCGCAGTGGGAGCTCGGAAAAGGTGTTTGGAAGAGCTCTCACCGGAGGTGGCATCTGAATCTTATTTTGAAACAGTGTTTCGTTCACGAATTGCTGTAAGGAAATCCAAATAGGCTTGTCG